GAAAAAAAGAGATGATGTAGAATTCTCTTGCTTTTAATAACCAGGGTTGAGAGTGTTCTTTCATTGTACATGTACATGTATATTTTGTGCATGTACTGTACCAGCACTTGTTTGTGTATAATGGCTACATTGTGTGTGAGTGTGCACTCATTATGCTGTGCAGCCTACATCCCTTGTGGGTTGTCTCTCCCCTTGACATACATTCCATACATTTCACAGTGGTTGACCAGCAGACCAGTGGCTGACCTTAGATGAGGTAATCTGGAGCAGCCAAGTGCATAGGGAGCCAGTGACCTCCATGTGGGGGTCAACTGACTGGTAGCCTGTCTGTATACTCAGTTGTGGTCTTGTCAGCAATGACCAGTGGCGATGTTTAATTCTCTGCTGCTTTGAATGTATTCCAACAGCATGTACATGTGCATGTACAATGGAAGAACAGCACGCAAGCCCATTGTGTTCAGGTTATACTGTGTGTTGTACAAGCTTATCCAGTGTGCAGATATGTAGAGAGTTAGTCAGTCTGGCATTTCTTTGTAAAATTGTTTCACACCTTGGTGAAACATCAAAATCTTCTCCTCAGTTTTTATACTTCATCTCCCGCTACTTGCCGAATGTAGTATTCGCCGAAGCCTTAACAACGCCACCTTTCACTTTTCAAAGAAACTATGAGAATCTATACTGTGATGCCATGTTTCTGTGCCCCCATATGCGTGTGTGCATAATGCGTTTTACAAATGGATGATCGAATCTGGCTTCATGGCGAAGCAGTGATGGGAATCCGGTACTGGTTTGTGTTGGTGACTGCTGCTGTTTGTGTCAAAGGTCATCCCTCAGTCGGCAGTTTGTGAGTTTGTGAATCGTGTCTGTAAGGCGAAAGTCATGGTCACCCAGCTACTTCACAAGGGCGGGTGTCGTCTTTCACTTTGCGGCCCTGGCATGGCTCTGTCCTCGACCAATCAGCATCATCTGTTAACAATCACTGTGGGTTATATACTCCCATTTGTCACATTCCGTAAAATCTTGACCTGTCATTAAAGCCTGGAGCTGTATGGTTGCAAATGTTGACATTATGCCCAGGAATTGCCCAATCGACTTCCATTGGAGGGGGGCCTTCATGGAAATACTGGTTGATGAAGAAAAAAATTATAGCAGCTTGGGGGCATTCCAGATAGAAATTTATGTTTCTTGGGGAGGTAGAAAAATGGGATCTGCTTGGCAGTGTCTTGGGGCCCTACTGATAAAAAAAAAGGTTGTGTGCTTGTGTTATGAATGACTAGTCCGCCCGAAAAATAAAGTTCATTTATCCATGAGTATTAGGTATGATTCACTGATTGTTTGATGCCCTATGGAGATTTGTAGGTCAGTCTGTTATTCATCCTGGTTGTTTCTGGACTAAACATGTAAGCAGTTTCTGCATTGTGCTTTTTCATTAAAATTAGTGTGCTTGGCATGCTCTTCCTCATTTGGAGATTTTTCTTTGTATAAATGGATGGAACCTTCTGGATCTAAAGGTGTGAAGCAGGTCATTGGGTTGTGATTTACTGACTCAAAGGTTTTCTTGTGCGTGGGACACTGACTGTAGGATTGAGAAGAAGGGAAGGAAAAGGCAGCTCTATTACCACTAAAGCTTACATATACTGTAATTCACTAGTACAATAGCCAGTGGGCAAATTGGCTCCCCCTCATGCACTGTACTATAGAGTGCAGCGCAATGGGCACTGCTTGTCGTTTGGGGCTAAGCAGTTTTTATGCCATCTTTGATAATTGAATGCAAAGTTATATGCAAATTGTTGAAGTGAATGAATGCCCCCGCTGTGTGCCCAACACAATTGGGGATCAGGGCGGTATTGTGTTTGGGGGCAGACGGACTGAAAAGAACTACCTTTCTCTCAGCAGGTCACAAGATCCCCCCCCCATCTTTTTCCAGCCCGGGTTCATTTTATGCACGAGAACTACGAATTACTGGGGGAAAGCTGCCGTCATTTAATGGGCTAGCATGACAATGGGTTCTGCACAACTCACGGACAGCTTGAAGTTGTCCCCTTTGAGGGCTGGTGGCAGTGGCAGTGTGATAGGGTGACATGGCTTTTGCTGACACATGTGCCTCCTTCATGAGAGTATTAATGCATGCACTGCTAGTAGTTCAAGATAAAAATACCCATCTATTTACTCTAGATTGATCTACATAACTTTATCTTTATATCAGCAAAATGGTGGGAACTATCTTGCATGCTGCAAGTCCTTTTTTTGTCTTCCCATGACATTCTCCACAATCTTGTATAACCAATAATCTGCTCTGAGTGGGAACAAGAGAGGGCTTTTTTTGTACGTTGGAACAATGATCCTCTGATCGGAACTCAGGCTTTTGCATGTTTGTTGTCCGGCAAACTGAGAATGCTTGACCAAATTATGTTGGACTGTTTCTTTGCGTGCTGGGCGCATACGCAAGCCTAGTTCAAAAGCTTCCTGGCAGCTTTTCTCTCCTCTGCCAGTGAGGGTGCATTTTAGCTCAGAAGAGGATATGTCATTATTATAAAGCACTCATTTGCCCAGATAAAAAGCCATGCAAGACAGCAGTGTCTGTTTGACAAGCTCTGTAATTCGCCTTTTGAAATGGTGCAAATCACAGTATTTTTCACTCGGAATATTGGATTTTCCTCATCTTAAAAAGCTGTGTATCACCAAACAGGGCCAAAATCAGTGAGCTTGCCTCCACCCTCTTCCTTGTGCTGAGATCAACACAAAGTAACTCCTCGCAGATCCCCCCTTTCCGTACTATGTGTCTGGTGTGAGGGTAATACCTCTCGTATTATTATTGTGTTTTTCCTCAAGTTTGTAGAGAAGTTCTTTCATGGCTTTAGGGTAGTTGATAGTTTGATCTTTCCCCTTCTGATCCAACTCCCAAAAGAACATCCTGTTTTCTGGGGCTGATGCATGCTTTTGCCTGTCAAGATGGACACCTTTGTCCATCCTGAAGTGGAGTTGATTTATCTGGAGCAAGACATGGTCTTCAGATCAACTTTTTTCCCCCCAAGATACCAGCTGTTAGACATGCATCTAATCTTGGCCCCTCATTGTTGACTGTAATTATGTCTGGAGCAGCTTTGAGATTTCGAACAGAGTGGAAGTGCCATTGTTGTATCCACTGAGATTTTACAACAGTCCAACACAGGGTGGAAATTTGCAGGGAAAAAAATGGACGAGAACAAGTGGCCTGTGAGACACAAAAACTAACATGGTTACCAGTGAATAGTGTGGGTTTATTGTGGGGGGAGGGGGGAAGAACCACAGGACATGTCCTTGTCTTTCAAGCCTGGTGGTTATTTCCAACTAGACAAGAGTTCAGGCTTCACTCATCTGCAAGTACATAATTATCATTGACAGATGGTTTTTAGTTCATTTTTGCTCCATGCCACTGCAATCACTTGATATTGATCCTCTGTTCTGATAGTTTGACATTGCTATCTACGTAGTATAGTATATTTGTTGCATGAATGTGCCAGTATGGTGTGAATATTCTGTGTGTCTTTCCTTGGGGGGAGGTACTACACTATGTACAAATATGACTGTGATTTCAATTTATGTCACCCTGATATACTTTACTTTCAATAGATTTCAGAGCATAGGTCATATACAGAACGCATGCCACTAGTTTTAGTGTAACAATTTGAAATATGTGATCAGGTGAACCACCGAAAACAAGAGGCTCATGAAACTTGACGGGCAGTCTGTAGTTTGTCCAAATCTGCCCATCTGGTTGCATTATCTGTATCACCTTAATTGTTCGATATCAAGGCCCAACATAACTCTAAATTACACAATCATGTCCCACCTTTGGAACTCTTTTAGTCTTCCGGGCAATATCACTGCATCTTTGAACTTGAGTCATTGTATGGGGATAATGGATGTGGGTTAATGATTGACTACTAATTATTGACAGAATTAAGCACTGCTATCTAACAAGAGGCGCAAAAAAAAAAAAAAATTAGTGGGTTTATTAGTTGGTGGCTGAGTTTTGCTTTTAATGTTCTGTGGGTCTGTTTATACATCGGTGTCTGCTCTCCACAAGAAGGTGATGACGTTCTGACATTACATGTGTGCACTGCTGGCGGGTTTCAGTCAAGTTCAGAATGGTCGTGGGATGGTCTTTGTTCTAGGGTAAGCCTGTGCTGTGACTGTCTGTTTTTGTACCAATAAAAGTGGTTTTTTTACAAGGTGGGTGTCGTGTCATGGTTTGCTGAGTGTGTTTTGTTGGATGGCATGCACAACTTGTCGGAAATAAAGCCAGCACTTACCTGTGTGTTGGACTTTTAAAGGGGTTAGCTGGTTGATTCATACATGTAGGTAAGCTAGGCAGAGTGGTAAGAACTCCGTAGCTCACTTCATATGTCTTGGGTTCTGTTACTACTTTGGGTCCACATTTAACTTAGTCATCTGCGCAGTTGTAGGGTGTACATTTGTGTTCATTCCCCCGAAGGGATCACGAGGTGTTTTTGTGTGTGTGTGTGACTTACTTTTTCCAAATGTGCTGTCCTTGTTATGTCCATGATACATTTTCTTTGATCATTTACACTTGCCTTCTGCCAGTAAGTCATTTTTACATTAAGACAATGTTCAACTAAGCTAAGACATATCCTGTCACGTGTCATGGTGTGAAGCTTTGAGACTTATGTTTTCAAGACAAAGGTTATGATGGCTTGCCGACTTAAAAACGCAGGAAGTCTGTGGGATGTGTTAAAAGAATGGCAAAAAGATGATGCGCATGCTACTAAAACCAGCTAAAGGGCCAATCCTACTGGTTTTTTTTTGGTTCTGCAAACAAGCTCACAAAAGAACTTTAATTCAGTCTGTGTCCATTCAGAAAGCTGATACAGATGCTAAAATGTGAAAAGGCATGAAAGAAAGTATTTGAAAGAATCTTGATTTGATGGGATGAAATTGTTGTTGGTCTGTTGAATATAAAAATATCTATTTTTGTTTATCACTGTTCATCTCTTCAGATTTATGCTGACAAAGGACTGATATCCCTGTGTGTTTGCAATCAACCCTAGAAAAATAGTAAGTATACCACAAGTTTGTATAGATGTGCAATTTTTGACATGTTGTCTATATGCACCGTATACATTTCATACTTCGAACCCATGTCATACAGATCTACTTTTCTGAAAGAGAAAGTTCTTGTTGGATACAAGTATCCAGAAGACAAACTGATTTTCTGTTTGAAACTGGTCAGATTTCTTTGGGGGCTCATGAGAGAAAGGCTTGCTTGCTCAAATTTTCATGGTAAAAAAAGTCTCCACTTTCGAGTCATAGCTGAAAGGAATAATTATTCACGAAATGGCTGCTGTAAATTTTCCCCCCTCCTGGACTGTGGCAGACTGGCTCTGCGGGCTGAATATGTTGTCATGTTGCCCTGCGGGCAGGGTGGGTTAGGCGGGGTACTGGAAACAAGAAATGTTTCAAGCTGTGTGAAAGATAGGAAAGCCAAACAGTTCGCGGCAGAATTCTCCCCCCATATCGCTGCCCAAACCCGTACCCTGGGGTCATGGCAGCATCCAGGAGAAGTATCAGCATGGCCCCTGCTCCGCTACCGTCAATATCGGGGGCTATTAATGGTTGACAAGTAGGCCGTGTCTAGTACTGATCATGCTGAACTTGAAGCCAGCTTAAGGGCTTATGTGAATACAAGTCTTGCATGTGATTTCCTTGGGCCGAGGAGGGAAGTGGCTACAGCCATGGCAGGGGAAACCGGAAAAAAGGGAGAGACTGAGAAAGGGGGAAAAAATGAAAGACAAACAGTAGCAAGTACTGACAGATGGGAACACACTTTTGCGTTAATCACTTGATAGTGAAGACAGCAGACAGATAGAGAGTCATGAATATTCAGACGCCTCGCCATCCGAGAGGTGCCTGCCTGGAAGCTGAATTGTTAATGATTGGACATTCGTTGATCTGTGCATATATAGATGGCCGTTACTTCTGTTCCAGGATTTGTCAACTTATCCAGGGATGAAAAGAAAAGTGAAATGCAAAGGTTACTTCATTTTTGCATGGTGTTTGTTTCATTTGTCATGTCTTGGGGCCTTGTCCAAGTTAGGAGAGGAATAAAGGCTACATGTAGGTATTTGTTTGTCATTTCTTTCATCTATGCAGAATGATCTTTTTGTCTTAAATATCTATGGGCTTTTTGTTTAAGTTGGGTGAATTAAACTAATGCCTGCAGAGATAATTAACCTTCAGGGATCAACTCGAATCTGTAGTTGTCAAGAAGAATCCTAAATTTGTCAACAGCAAAGTGATTCATACCACATGCATATTTGCCTTATGTGTGAGGCATCCATTTTAGCAATTTTAATGACCCCCAATTTATAACCTTATCTGGATGCTTTTAATTGGGGCCAAAGTGTAGGCAGTGCCCATAAAACAAAAAAGGTCCCAGCAAGTCAAAACACTTAATGGGAGCAAAGTTTGAGAAACCATCTCCAAACAGGAGAATCTAACAAAGTAAACATGGCACACACAAAAAGCTCTCCCACCGAGGCTCCGGGCACTCCCTGGTCTAATTAAGGGTCTGGTATAAAAACCTGGGGAGTTAGACAGAAAAGAAAATCGGGCTTTGGTTATTTGACTACAATCATCACCCACAAATTATGGACAGCCACATCCTTTTTTTTAAATGTTCATATGTTGTTAGAGCTAGCTTTATCTGCTGGGTGCTCTTGACCCAATATCAATACTTGTTTTATGCACCTGTTTACATGGGGCCGGTCGCCGTGCTGCCATTGAGCTTGTACATGTATGTCATTTAAGGCTGAGAGCTGTCCATGTTAAATTAGCCGGCCATGTTAATTTTGGTGGTAAACACCTTTTTCCTGATCTTTCTGTCTCCTCATGCACAGTCCTTTTTTTCCTGAACAGATGGTCAGTTTTGAATATATGTCAGGTATTTGTTATAAATTAAGCTAATGTGGGTGTCGTTTGGTTTTAAGATGCATAGAGGCTGTTCTTTGGTAATGGTTTGCTCTGATGAAAAAAAAAATGAAAATTCAAGAGAGAGCCCTGAGATCTTTGGAGTGAGAAAACAAAGTGTGTTTGGAAGTGGACTTTGTCCATTGGAAAAGGATAAGCCGTTTCTCTCCCCCCCCCAAAAAAAGAGGCAAATATGTGGTTGTTTGCATTTGAAAAATATTGTAAATTGGGCAGTTTATTTTTTACACACGAGTAGGTGAAATGCTCAGTTCGAAATGAGTACTTTTAAGGGTGAGCTTCATTTTCAGTTATGTGGGATGTTATGAATTTGATCTTTTCATTTTTGTTGGCGATGTCTGGAAGGGATTCTATACTTGAGGGTATTGACGTGATGTGCATGGCCTCATAGGATATGTGTTTAGGGATGTCGCCGTGGCAATGAGCCTGTGGAACATTGGTATTGAAAGGCCATTGAAGAAGAGCATTCCCATCTTCAGCTAACTCATGTTGAACAATGAACACCATGGGCAGGGGAAGAAACAAACAAAGTTAGGATAGCTGATCGGTGATCTTACCTTGGCTCATCTGCCTATAGTTAACAATGTCCACTGTGACATTTTCAGAATACGTTTTAAAGACATATGCCAAAGAGTCTCAAATTTTCACAGGAATTTACGTGCAAACTTTTCTTGTCAACATGGCAAGTGAAATCCCTCTTACATCCTCACGTAACATTTCTACAGCTAAAAGATAAATGGATAATGATGTTGTAATTTTATTTATGAGAAGTCAGTTTGATCTTAATGTTTATTGTATTTTTATTTATTTATTTATTTTTTTGAGGGGACTTGCATCCCATGAACTTTTCTGTTGGGAAAATAATTTCGCATACATATGGCATACAAAAAGTACATGGAATGGTTGCAATTTTGTACACTGCTGTTCCTTGAAGGAAAAGCAAAAAGTGAACGTGAGACTAAGCCTGGGCCTCTTAAAGATAAGATGCAATTGCCTTGTTTGTGTAATCAAGTTTCGCAAGAGTTCCTGTCCCACTGTGCTGTAATTGTCCCACCGTCCTGTTTGGATCCTGCTGTTTCAAAAGTGATTCCAATCATATTTCTTTCCCCCAGGCTGCTTCCCCAGAAAGAAAAAAAAAATAGAGAACGATTCTGTTAGCCATAGGGGAAAAAATTAACCAGAGGGAAAAATTACAAAAGATGGAAGGCAGAGACTTGGTAAACCCAGCAGGGGTGAGAAGTGATTTTGATTTAATCACAGGAGTGTAATTGATGGGGGTTAAAAGTTACAGAACAGGAAAGAGAAAGGGGAAAACTTTGACCACCAAAGGGAAAAGTAGGGCTCATGGAAAATGCCTGGGTTTTGTTTGGATTGTTTGAGCGAAATGTGTGTTGTTAATGTTCAGTACATTTGCATGGTTTGGTATGAGTTACACAACACAGTGTTTTACCTACACACTCTCACACACTTGCAAAAGTACCAGTCTGTTAACATCATCTTCTTTTTACATTGTGGCACTTCAGCACTTCGTTTCGCTGAATGAAACTTTTTTTTTCACCTTTGGTGACCTCTGAAAAAACATTTTGACATTGAGAATACCAAAAAGGTAAAACACCAGTCATAAAAACATCCATATGGTAATAGATTGGAAAGAAAACAGACAGCTCTATCAAGTAACTCTTTTGAATCCCAGGGCCATTTCAAAATGACAAAACCAGGAGAAATTCCCTGAATCAGGAAACTCTTATTGGACAGGTTTGGCTGATTGATAAGGAGTAGAAAGTGATATATCAGACTTCAAAACTGTCTTTCTGACTGCTCCAATATGACCAATCCAAAGTCAGGGTCTACATATCAGTAGTACATGTATTTCCACCTTCGGCTGGGAGTCTAGGAAAGCATTGAAATTCATGTGCTTATCTACTGAAGTAATTATTCTGTGACCCAGTAATGTACAGTGTATTTGTGAATGCCACAGGTAAGTTTCAAGGAACAGGGTAGACACATGAATGTCTTGTCTTGTTAATCCAGATTTCTGCAAGCCACTTTGAGTTTCCCCTTGTACTCAATAGTAGTCACTCCAGACCTGTACTGTGGAGACTCCTGGTTCTGTTGTGCATAATGTGGATGAATCAGTCACTCTGACATGTGCACAACACACATACCAAACTGATTGCCTACTTCATCCCTGTATTATCTTTGCACAGGATTGTCAGGATCTGTGCTGAGGCTTTGCTAGTGTAAAAGGGTACTGCACTGACCCTTGTCTGTTCTATCAAGCAGGGTCTCTGATAGGTTTGCCACCAGTTGGCCTCAATAAAGACCAGACTCCAACAACCTACATGTACAGTCAGCAGACTATGAAATGGCACAGTACTTGACAGGGGGGGGTTGGAGAATGCCTAGCTGAAAAAGCTGACAGCTAATACACAGGCTGACCTCAGCTAGCCTGAGTTAAGGTCAGCGGCTACAACAGGTGCAGTGACTTCTACCCTGACCCCCTCTGCTGCTCACACTTGCTCTACTACACCTTTTCACAACCAGTGGGCAGAGGAAATGTTGGCTTGCATAAAATACATGATTTACCTGTGTTACTTTTAAAAAGGAAGAGGGTCTGTTCTTTTGGCTGCTTGTGTTTTTTTTTGTGGGCTCTTTTTTTTTTACTTGCCACAGTTTTAAATACTTGTAGGGATTTGGATTGATTCAATGTACATACACGTTTAGGCCCAGGATTATATGCTTAGCTGTATCCGTGATCACTTTGGAGGGGATTGGTTTGTTCCTTAATGTTCCCATCATCTCATCCACCTGTTCTGCTGATCACAATGCTTATGTTCCTGCTGCTGGCTGATACATTACACATCTGTGTCTGTCTTTTGAGTGTTTATAGCTCTGTTGATCATTAGTACAAGTAGTGCTAGTCGGCCAGTAAATAATCTCAAGATGAAGATAGTTAGCAGTGTTTCTGTGCTCTATGGTCTGTGTGTGCTGGGAACCCACAGAGATTCTCCTCATGCATATTTACAGGTCAGGGAACCTGGATGTGGCATTTTGTCAGCAGCAGGAAGTTG